ACAAGCAACAGTAAACCATCATGCAAAAATAGATGCCCTCCAGTGACAATAGATCCCCCAACAGCGAGCATCAATGGACCTTCCGGCACACCCCCAGCACCCATTGCCATTACAAACATTAAGTGTTAGAGGTGCCACATTTTCCCCCACATTTTGGGTATATGTAAGGGTTTACAACCACGTTAAAGTAACACTAAATGATGTCCTTGTCCTCCAAAAGTAATCCATACACATGCACTACTTAATGGCCCTGTAAACTGTTTTTCATGAAATCATTTCTTATTGCCTTTTTCTTTCTCCTTGTTGTTATGTCCTCCGTGAGCTTCCAAGCCTCTACTTTTCCATCTCAAATTGATTTGTTTGGAATGAGCAGTGCACATTAGTTTTGGCCATGTAGACTGCCCTATGTACACCACACATCCCATAGTCCATATTCCTGGGTTCATCTCTGGAGCGAGCAAGTGGGGGTGGCTACGTTCCTACATACATAGAGCATGAAGAACAACTGTAGCCTCCCCCCCACAGGAAGTCAGATCACAGCAGCAGGATTCCCCCCCGCCCTTCCAGACCAGGCCATTTTTTGCTTTACAGCGCTGCATTACTTTAACTGATAATTGTGTGATCATGCAACACTGCACCCAAATGAAATTTATGTCCTTTTTTCCCATAAATTGAGCTTTCTTTCGGTGGTATTTGATCGCCTGTGTGTTTTTTTCTTTTGCACTATAAGCAAAAAAAGACCGCCAATTTTGAGAAAAAAAAACAATATTTTGGACTTTTTGCTATTAAACATGTCCAGTAAAAGAATTTAAAATATCAAATTTCATCATGAATTTAGGCCAAAATGTATTCTGTGACATGTCTTTGCTAAACAAAAATCCCAATATGTGTAAATTAATTGGTTTACGCAAATGTTTAGCATTTACAAATGGCGGTATAGATAATGGGATTTTTTTTCCCCTACTAGTAATTACAGTACTAATGGCACTGGGCAGGAAGGGGTAATTTGAGGGCAATCAAAGAGTTAACTGTGTGCTGGTGAGTGTTTTACTAGGGGACGGGGGTGTGTGTGTTCTTCACTGTCAACTTGAGCACACTGCTCAGGATGGCTGTGCACAGTACAGCCATCCCGAGCTGTGCTCGAGCTGACAGGGAGGAAGATTGTTTGTAAACAAAACAATCTTCCTCCCCGTCAGGGATGCTCAGTAATCACCGGCGCCTGTGGGTACTTACCGGCCGGGACCCGGGGATTGACATCTGCGGCTGTGAATGGCGGCGCGGGTAGGGCAGCTCGCACGCGCCCCCTACCCGGAAATGCAAAATCACATATATATATACATGATTCTGCACACAGGTGCCGCCCTGTAGCAGTATATCTGCTATAGGGCGGTCCTTAAGCGGTTAAGAGACCTCCTCACGGCCTGTTTTACCCCCTAAAGACCACCACGCAAGGCACACGGTTTCAGCGTAGCCCCATTCGTTTGAATGGGTTGCAAGTGGTACTGCCCACCTAACGCAATAGGGGGATCATTTTTGCAGCAGTCACTGCATATGTGCACCCCTGTCTTCTGCCTTTGCAACCTAAGAGGAATGATTCTAGAGCAGTAAAAATGTGGCTCAACTGCAGGTTTTTATGCCCCCCCTTCCTAAACTACAAGTGTAAAATATAGCCTTACTGTGATTTCCCATGTTTTTGAAATCCTGCTAAAAACATTGTTCCCACTTAACTATTATAAAGCACAACCTAAGCCACAGAGCTAATGACACTTCTACTTAATTAAAAGGCATCATTCCAAATGAGCCATCAAGTAAAGGGCACAATTTGCTAATAGATAATTACCGACTATACTCTGATAAGATTGCTGACACTAAGCTGACCTCTTTTACACATTTATCTAAGAAATAATTGAACAAACTACACACATTCCCTTTCAATCTTAGTGAATAGTATGTGTGCAATAATTAAAGTGGAAAGAATTTTCTCTATTCTCATACTGAAGAAAAGAATTCCAAAATGACTTAAAGAGAAAAAAAATCTGAAAAATCGAAAAGGTGAACTAAAGCTGGAGAAACTAGTAGAATTTCGTTCGACATGTTTCATTGTAAGAAATCTTTTTTTTTTTTCTTTTAATTTACTAATCATTAGTTGGGTCAAATCGGCGTTCGTTTTCGACTGCAGTAACAAGAAAAATCGAAGGATCTGGATGGAGTGAAAAAAAAAAGTGTATGTGGTTTTCATGCAGTAAAGACCTTTCAGTCCAAAATCGAATGATAAAAGTCAACAAAATCTTAAACTACTTTTGAACGACATTCAAATGTTCTGAGAATTTTCATGCAAATTTTCCTAAGAATTTTCATACAAAGTTTTATTTGAAATTCTACTTGTGTATACCCAGTTTTACACCTTACATCCTTTCCACCCTCCTGTCCCTCCCCAGTCCCCGCTGCACTTACTTTATGTATGTGGGTGATACAGTTTCTACAGTCACTGCCCATGCAGTCCAATGCAGCGCTTCTGGGATGGATCAGAGCAGTTCTGATTGATCTGTGCCATAACATGTCTGCACTGACCAATCAGAACCCCTCTGATCCTTTCAGACATCCCTAGGGAAAGAAAAGGAAGAATATTGCAGTTTTCAAATCCTAGGACCTCTGCAGTGGGCTGCATGGGCAGTGAAACTATTATCACCCATGGGGTTATATGCAGACTGGGGGAGGGTGTAGGGTGTTCACCTTTCATTTTTTCTGAAAATGTTAACTAACCCTTTAATAGCTCCGCAATCATGGTCACGGTCATCCAACAGCTCAAAATGATTCTTTTGGAGCAGTAAGTGTGATGACAAACTAAAATGTAATCATTTTCCATTGAATTTGCCAACAGAGAATTCTAGAACAATCTAGGGCAGTGGTCTCCAAACTGCGGCCCAGGGGCCAGATGTGGCCCTTTGCTTATCTTTATCCGCCCCTAGGGGCACTCTTCTTCCCTCTGATAAAAGGCACTATTCTTCCCACTGACACCAACAGTGGGCCATTTTTTCTCCCCACTGACACCAATGGTGGGGCACTATTCCTCTCACTGACACCAACACTGGGGCACTATTCCTCCTCCGAATACCATAGATGGGGCATTGTTTACTTCCACTGACACCAAGGCATTTTCTACTTCCACTGGCCACAGTCCTGCCCCCTTAAAGTCTGAAAACCGGCCATTTTGGTTAGAAAGTTTGGAGACCCCTGATCTAGGGAAACGGATAATAGGGTTTCCTGGAACAATCGGGGAGAGACTCCAAGGGACTGATCTACCTAATTCTTAAAGCATATTGAAAATATTGCCATTACAACCCAGTCCTTAGATGGGTTGTAAGCATTAGTTTTCTTTTTTTTTTTAATTTTTGTCCAGTCCACGGGAGGCTGCAATCACTTCTTCATTGTATCTATGGAGGGAGTCATGATTGCCACTCAGGCTGGACTCCAAACATGTCTGCCTTTGTTTCTCTGCATTGCATAGGTGCAGGGGCGGACTGACAACTCATGGGGCCCCCGGGCAATAGGGGATCATGGGGCCCCAGTGTCCTTGCCCAAGCTCAAAAAAGCCTATGAAAAATGTACCAGGAGCATGTCATGGGGCCCCTACTGACAACGGGCCCTCGGGCAGTGCCCGAGTTTCCAAATGGTCAGTCCGCCCCTGCATAGGTGATAGTAGGAATAGTAGTTTACAGAACAAAGGCTCATGCTTTCTGTTAGGCTCACAGGAAGCAACAAGGACACAGCATTTCTGCCATGATCAAAAGGGGTTTTCTGTACTTGCTGAAAATGTTCTTAGACTGAATATGAAGACTAAAGTAGTCACCATATCTAAACCATATGGATCACCCTATGGTTAGCTGCAATATATTGCATCGTTTTTGAGTTTTGTTATTTTTGAGGGCTTATTTACACATCTGTGTTGGGTTAACATGCATTTCATGCATTGCAGTGCCATTCATTTTGAACGGCACCTTGATACACTAAGCCAGGGGTCTCCAAACTGCAGCCTGCGGATCGGATGTGGCCCTTTTCTTGCCTTTATTTAGCCCTTTTTCCTGGGCATTATGCCATCAACTGACACAAATGATGGAGCACTATTCCTCCCACTGACACTAATGATGGGAAATTATTCCTTTCACTGACACCACAGATGGAAAACTAATTCCTCCACGGACACCAATGATGGGACACTATTCCTCCAACTGGCACCGATAATTTAATTTATTTTTTACTCCCACTGCCCACCAAGCCGATGGCATTGTTTATTCCCCTCGATGTCAGGGCATTTTCTACTTCCACTATCCACAGTCCAGCCCTCCTAAAGTTTGAAGAACAGTAAACTGGCCCTTTGTTTTGAATGTTTGGTGACCCCTGCACCAAGGCAAGGTGCTTTGCCAAAAAAGGTGCAAGCTAGATTTTATGCATATCAAGGTGCCTTGATAGCCCATTCATTTCAGTCGGCTGCCTCTAAGCAACACACTTGTAATTCTTGATATAGCATGCATGGGGGGGGGGGGGGGGGGTTACCTTTATTCGGGGAATGCATGAAGGTAGAAAACGTTCAGCCTTAAGAACCATTTTAACTTGTGTTGCTCTAAGGCAGCGTATTTAAATGGATTAGCTGCCAATGAATGGACAGACTAAGAATAATTTATTTTTCCCAGATGCAGTGCATCGCAACACACAGTAGTGCAATGCACATGCTTCATAGGTTCGTTATGCAGCTTGATAGTAAATTGTAAATGTGCTCCTACCCTAGGCCTAAAGGGAAATTCAATCTTTTTGGCCCAAAGATCTGTCCCATTGGAAATAGTGGGCTTTAAATCATTGGGTCACATATAAGTAACCGCTTGGGTGCTCTGAACCTCTGGACTGTTTCTCGGATCTAGTTTACCAATATGAATAGTTGGCAGTGCCATTATAAACAATCAAAATACCAAAAAGTCTGATGCAGATTGGAAGTTTCTACTGACCTCCATAACATCCAGCAGCCACAGGAGCCTCTCCTAGAACAAAAGGAACAAAACACATAGTCGTCTGGATGATTAACAACAAACCACTGAAAACTTAATGGACATGGAGTGAAGCAATAACAATCCATTTAAACCTGGGTTCACACTGATGCGGTGCCGCATATTGCATGTGATTCGCACAGGAACTGCACCGCATTCCTGTGAAAATCACATGCAAATTCTGTGCAGTCCAATTTGAGCCATACATTTTGTAATGGCCACTTAGCTGCACACATCGGATTCTAGCGGAAAGAATCAGAGGATTTTTGCGCATGGAACGACAGGTGTATGCAAATAGTATAATAACAAGGGAGCTTGAGGCCACATATAGTTATCACTGAACGTATTTTATCTGGCAAATAATAAAAAAAAGACCGCAAAAAAGGGGGGGGGGGATGTGAAAAGAAATTCACAAGAAAAAGCGGTTACATAATGGACAGAAAGTGATACCCAACAATTTTATCAAAAAATTATTCTTTATTGCAAATTTTGCACATGTTTAGACATTTAGGTAAATACCACTGTTAGCCATCAGCACAAAATGAGACAATGCCAAAGGAATTGACTTAAAACAAAAGATTATTTTAAAAGAAAGATGTCATGACCGGCCATGAATATAGTTGTCCTGTAGAGACAATGACCCTAGATCTAATGTATATGCAGCACAGGCACATAGGAAACACCACCATGTAGGGGATGTACACAAATATATTTGTGTGCCTGTGCTGCATATACACTAGACACTGTGTCATTGTCTCTAATTTTACGTTAAAAGTAACCAGAGAGGTCAGGGTTGGCTTGTTTTAAAGGTATTTTACTGTTAAGAATATGTGAAGTTTAATGTTCATAGTCTGGGCACAGGTGCATTTTAAGGATCTCATGGGTTCATTGCTGCAGGGTTCCATTGAAATTCTACAGTCTGTTGTAATACAGATCCATCATTACAGACCTTCCTATTCTATATATCCAAGATGGTAGACATGGTAGTGTTTTGGATGTGTTGGCCTTACCCGGGCAGTACTTGCAGTGCTGACAGTCTGGTGGCTCTCGGTGGATGATGTGCTCGGACTTTGAGATAAGACAGAGACTGTATCTCCCGATCGATGCCGAGATTTCATAGACTCGATTTCTCGCTTCAACACCATGTTGTCAAATACAGCCAAGTCATGAGGGAAGATCTGGGGCCGTAGCTCAGACAGCAGAGTGAACTAGAAGGGATAAAGGATTTATAGAGCAGTATATACAATATTCTTCCACATACACTAGCACATATATCCACAATTTGCAGTTACCTTGGCTTGGGTGTTGAGAAGCTCAAACATAGCCATTACGAAGGCCTGCACTGGGATGTGGAGGTCTTTGTACTGCTGGAGGTAGTAATTCATCGTGCTTCTTTCAAGCTCAGTTAGCAATAGACGTGCCCTCTCTTCTAGGGCCACCACGGACTGATTACCCAGACTGCTGAGCGTGACCTGTGACCCGGCAGGTGCTCGGTAGAAGACTGGCTGTGTGGGGGACACAGGGACAACATAGGTTAACCTGTATCTGTGATATACCATCTGTAGTCAAGGTATGGTGGCATTGTATACCTGGATGACTTTTATTGGATTCATCAATATGTTTCACATGGCCAACTATGTAGAAACCTGAAAACGTGGGTGGATTTTTTTTTAATTTGGTTGCATTTGAGGTTTCTATATATAGTCATGGCCAAAAATATTGGCACCCCTGTATTTCTGTCAGATAAAGCCCCCTTTGCCCAGAAAATTGTTGCAATTACAAATGTTTAGGCATTTTTATGTTTATTTATTTTGTTTGTATTGGTATGACACACAAAAGTGAAGAAACAATCTGACACATTCCACACAAAACCCAAAAAAATAGACTGGGCAAAATTATTGGCACTCTCAATTTAATATTTGGTAGCACACCCCTTGGAAAAAAACAACTGAAATCAATCGCTTCCTGTAACTTTTGAGTTTCTTACACCTCTCTACTGAAATTTTGGACCGCTCTTCTTTCACAAACTGTTCCAGGTCTTCCAGATTGGAAGAGTTTCATTTCCCAACTGCTGCTTGAAATCTCTCCACGGGAGCTCTATGGGATTGAGATATGAACTCATTGCTGACCAGTTCAGTACTCTCCAGCTCTTTGTCTGAAACCATTTCTGGGGGGGCTTTTAACTTGTGCTTTGGGTCATTGTCTTGCTGTAAGACCCATGACCTCTGATGGAGACCCAACTTTCGGACACTGGGCCCTACATTGCATCCCAGAATTATTTGGTAGTCTTCAGATTTCATAATGCCATGCACATGTTCAAGACATCCAGTGCCTGAAGCAGAATAGCAACCCCAAAGCATCATTGAACCTTCACCATGTGGAGTTGGATCACAAAATTGGTTGTCAAAAAATATAGTTTACCCCTTACTGCACACATCCTATAAGCCAGTGTTTCTCAACCAGGGTACAACAGCACCCTGGGATGCTGCTGTGTCCCCCCAGAATGCCACGAGCACAGGACCCAGTTTGCCCTGGATCAGCATAATGAGTTGCTATAGTGTGGACTGCCAGTACCATAGCAGCCAGTGACACAATGGGGGGGGGGGGGGGGGGGGTACTCGGTGGTGATGAGGGGACTCTGATGTGATAGGGGCTCATGTATAGGCGGCCTCACGTGAATAGTGGTAATTCTGCTTTCATGGGGAACCTCTAATGTCAAGGAGGCATTCTGATGTGATGTGGACCTCTGATGTGATGATGGGGCCTTTGAGATTAAGGGGGCTCTGATGCGATGAGGGAACCTCTGATGTGATGGTAGACCTCTGATGTAATGAGGGGGCTTTGATGTGATGGGGGGACCTTTGATGTGATGGGGGAACCTCTGATGTACATAAGTAACATTTACATTTTAGACATTTTGCATGCTTTTAAAGGGTAAAGCAGCTAAAATAAGGTTGAGGAAGCTGCTGTAGGCTATTTGTAAGAAGTTCCTGTGTCCAGGTGGAACCTGCCAGCACACTGTTCACTGGCAGGGCTACATGTAGTTCAACTTGGGAAAGTGCAGGAATTGGTGACAATGCTGCAGCCCATGAGTCAGTGCCTCCGTAAGAAAGTAAAAGCCTGGAGATGCACCTTGCTGGTAGGACCACCATATACTGTATGTGGGCTTCAAACTGCAGCCTATGGGCCTGACTTTATCTGGCCCTTGGGGTACTATTCCTATCATTGATATGAGGCATTATTCCTTCTGCTGACAGCAACAATGAGTTTCCATTCTTTCCATGACACCAGTGGGTCATACTTCCTTCCATTGATATAAACGTTGGAACACTATTCCTACCACTGATGCCAACGATGAGGCACTATTCCTTCTACTGACACCAACGAATGGGCACTATTCCTTTCATTGACACCACAGATCTTTCTTTCCAAAGGCACCAATGATGGGGCACTATTCTTCCCATTGGCATCAATGATTGGGAAATATACCTCCCACTGACACCAAAGATGGAGCGCTGTTCCTTCCACTAACATCAATGATGGGATACTATTCCTCGTTCTATTGACCATGGGTACGATGTGATTTTTTTTTTACTGTCACTGACCACCAAGCCCCAGGCATTTTCTACTCCCACTGGCCACAGTCCAACCCTCCTATAGTCTGGCCCATTGTTTAGAACGCTTGGAGACCCCTGATTTAAATGAAAGCCGAAAATGTTTAAATTACAGGAGCATATGCAAGTGCATTACTGCACACGGGAGAGATTTAATAAAGCATGTTCAACAGTTTTCTGGTGTTATGGCCACATTAGAAATTATCATTCTAAATTCAGGTGTGCCAGTCTTCCTGCTATTTCCCATGTCTGTGACAAATTCAGGTGGTTCTTACTTATAGCACTTTCACATTCTAGAACCAAGGCTGCAACAATTTTGATAAAGGTTTCCATTTCAATGGGAAAAGTACAGGTAAATAACACCTCTTCCATGTTGGTGTAAACTGTGTTGCTCATATAAGTGTTGTGCCGCAGACAAATCTGTCCCTGGCACACAAATTTACATTCGTACATGTGTGCATAGGGGAGGCATAAAAATTATTTTAGGGGGGATTTTAAGTGCTTGGATGTAACAAATTATTTACACCTTTTCTTATCACATGGGTGATAAAAATCCCCCTATGTTATGTTTTTTTTTGCATGACAGGTTCTCTTTAATGATACAATAGAAGATCCCTGATGTCTCACCTATCCCCCAGTGCACAGATCGTGCTACATTAGCTTCTATCCCACCCATACCAACTGGGGAAAGTGACACTAGGACCCGAAAGTGACATTTTACATGCGGATTCCAGGTCATTAGCAGGAAAGTGAGATCAGCAAATGGACATTAACTGATCTCCCTCCCCCCTCTGCAGAATCCACCATGCTGGTCCTGGGTCCGCTGATGGGCGTGTATAGCTCAGGAAACATGGCAGGAGAGCATGCTTTGGGCAACACTTACAGGGGTGTGAGGAAGCAATGCTACCCGTCAAACTTTGCACCCAAAGTTAAAATTGCTAAAGCATGTACACAGCCCTGTCTGGCTGCAATGGTAGAATTTAGCTGGGCATTCCAGGGGCAGCAAAAATGCTGCTCAACACACTGTTTTTACTGTCCTTTGTTCACCTGCTGAAAGAGACCTTTATGAATTCCAGGGGTTGAGTTTAGGCAACAGATTTGTTTTTAAATAGGCTGCTAATGCACCACGATGCACCTAAATCCAGACAGGGACTAAACCAAAACACAAGTATCTGTCTGAGTGCATTTAGATGGTGCATTGGGGTTCCTTTTAAAAATAAGAAGCACTGTAATGCCGATTGTGTGTTACTTTGCATTGTCACGTGCTTTGTGTCAACATGCTATAAAATACACATTGTACCATGCCTTACCACAATGCTAGGTATGAAGCCGACCTAATAGAGATCTTTCACACAAAGGAAAATAAAAGGTTCAAACCAATTTTCTGAACAGCACTGAAAAGCGGCTAACAGTTGAGGGGTGATAACTGGAAAATTCTCTGAAGCCAATTATTTAATGTACTATTCAGAAAACAATGTGACCACAATCTGTGCTATAGAACCTTTTGGGTATTTTTCCCCGCTATAAGACTGACAAATCTAGAACAGCTGGAAGGATCATTCGAAGGATGTCAATTAAGCTTTAGCGATGGCCTTAGTTCCAGCAACACAATCGCTCAGTATGAACCTTTTATAAGCACACCGGGAGTTTGGGGTGGAAAGGAGATAATTGCAAATTCAATACAAAGAGTATCTAATCCCCAAAAATGTAATATATTGCAGAATACCAGTCTGTAGATGTGGTGGTTGTGTTAGTTATTTTTTTTAAATGTTCTACAAGCCTGAAAAGTGAAGACAAATGCAGCCACCACATGTAAAAATAGGTAAGTTGCAATATATTAAATTTTTGGGGGGGATTATAGATATGCTATAATAAAGTCTAAACCAGCCATTCTCAACCAGGGTTCCGTGGAACCCTTGGGTTTCTCCAGAGGTTGCTGGGGGTTCCTTGAACTGTGATTGACTTTCCTTTTAGTTGTCTATTAGAGTAGCATTCTGACCACCACTGTAAGGGTTACATAGTCTGGCTGAAAACAGACAAAAGTCCATCCAGTTCAACCATTAAAAAAAAAAAAAAAAAAAAAATTATATTATATATCTTATACCCACAGCTGATCCAGAGAAAGGCAAAAAAAAACCCAGCAAAGCATGATCCAATTCGCTCCTGCAGGGGAAAAAATTTGTTCCTGATCCCCTCGAGAGGCAATTGGATATTCCCTGGATCAACTTTACCTATAAATGTTAGTATCCAGTTATCCAAGAAAGAATCCAGGCCTTTTTTAAAGCAATCCACTGAGCTGGCCAGAACCAACTCTTGAGGGAGTCTATTCCACATTTTCACAGCTCTCACTGTGAAGAAACATTTCCGTGTTTAGAGATTAAATTTATTTCCTCCAGACGTAAAGAGTGCCCCCTTGTCCTCTGTGATGACCTCAGGGTGAATAGCTCTACACCGAGTTCACTATATGAACCACTGATGTATTTATACATGTTGATCATATCCCCTCTTAATCTCCTCTTCTCAAGAGAGAATAAATTCAGTTCCTCTAATCATTCCTCATACAGTTGTGGCCAAAATGATTCAACCCCCAATGCTGTAAAGGGGTTTAGGGACTATAGTGTACATTTGGAATTGTATTCAGAATCAAATCCTACAAGGACGTTGTAACTACCCAAATGCAACTAAAATGACATCAATTGTTTATGTAATACAGTAGTAAATGGTTCTTATGTGGTTTCTTCATTGCCACAATTATTCAACCCCTTAAAGACTACCACTCTGAAGAACAGAGGTTCATACAGGTGCTTTCCATCAGGTATTGAAAACACCTGTGGATGTCACCGAGCAGCAATCAAGCATAATAAGCACCAATTAGGCAGCTTTAAAATGACTGTGATACTCAGCTCCTTCTAGACATTTACTGGTGTGGTTACAAACATGGTGAAGGCAAGAGAATGGTCCAGGAAGACAAGAGAAGAGGTGATTTCTCTTCACAGGAAGGGCAATGGCTATAAGAAGATTGCAAAGATGTTAAACATACCAAGAGACACCTTAGGAAGCATCATTCGCAAATTCAAGGCAAAGGGCACTGTTGAAACGCTACCTGGTCGTGGCAGAAAGAAGATGCTGACTTCGACTGCTGTGCGCTACCTGAAGCGTAGAGTGGAGAGAAGTCCCCGTGTGACTGCTGAGGAACTGAGAAAAGATTTGTCAGATGTGGGTACAGAAGTTTCAGCCCAGACAATAAGACGCACACTGCGTAATGAAGGCCTCCGTGCCAGAACTCCCAGGCGTACCCCCTTGCTGTCTCCAAAGAATAAGAAGAGTCGACTGCAGTATGCCAAAAGCCATGTGGACAAACCACAAAAGTTGTGGGATAGTGTTCTGTGGACTGATGAAACAAAATTAGAACTGTTTGGGCCCATGGATCAACGCTATGTTTGGAGGAGGAAGAACAAGGCCTATGATGAAAAGAACACCTTGCCTACTGTGAAGCATGGTGGAGGGTCAATCATGCTTTGGGGCTGTTTTGCTTCTGCAGGTACAGGGAAGCTTCAGCGTGTGCAAGGTACCATGAATTCTCTTCAGTACCAGGAGATATTGGATGGAAACGTGATGCAGTCCGTCACACACCTGAGGCTTGGGAGACGTTGGACCTTTCAACAGGACAATGATCCCAAGCATACCTCCAAGTCCACTAGAGCATGGTTGCAGAGGAAAGGCTGGAACATTTTGGAGTGGCCATCGCAGTCACCAGACTTAAATCCGATTGAGAACCTCTGGTGGGACTTAAAGAAAGCAGTTGCAGTGCGCAAGCCTAAGAATGTGACTGAACTGGAGGCCTTTGCCCATGAAGAATGGGCGAAGATACCCGTAGATCGCTGCAAGACACTTGTGTCAAGCTATGCTTCACGTTTAAAAGCTGTTATAACTGTAAAAGGATGCTGTACTAAGTACTAAGATTGAATGTCACTTGGGGGTTGAATAAAACTGATAATGCTGTGAGCACAGAAAAGACATTTGTGGTTATTTCATTATAACTGTTATGTTATATTTGTCTGACCTACAAGTGCCTCTTTAATGTAAATGTAAGCAAGATGACTGAATGATCAAAAGCAATGTCAAACTGGCCAAAACACTCAATTTCAGTGGGGGTTGAATAATTTTGGCCACAACTGTAGCTGAGCTCCTCCATGCCTCGTATCAGTTTGGTTGCCCTTCTCTTTTCCATTTCCCCAATGTTCCTTTTGTGAATTGGTGCCCAAATCTGAACTGCGTATTCCTGATGAGGTCTTACTAATGATTTGTACTGGGGTAAAATTATATCTCTCTGGAGTCTATACCTCTTTTAATACAAGAGAGGATATTGCTAGCTTTAGAAACCGCAGCTTGGCATTGCATGCCATTATTAAAGTTGGGATCTACTAGAACCCCCAGGGTTGCTTTATTTCTAGTGACAAATGATGTAAAAAAACATTACCCCCCCCAATGAATCGGTTTGAGTAAGAGTTCTCTGAGACCAGAAAATTGTTTTAGGGGTTCTTCTCAGTTGAGAAAACTGGTCTACACAGTACTGTGGTAAAACTCACAGGCACTATTAATGATGGGGGCTGTCCTGTTTTTTTCCCTGTGGCTCTTTAGCAGTTTAGCATTAGCCCTTCTAAATCCAAGATGGCGGCAGTGGGGACCCACAGCTGTGAGAAGACTTGGCTGCGGGTAGACGGCGCTGGAATCTATGGACTGGTAAGTACCTGATTTCAAACAGCAGCTAGAAATACTGTAATTTGCTATAATATTGTAACACAAATACTGTAAACTCTAATTTTTAGAAATGTTAATGAATTTCCTCTTTAAACTGTCCATACTCTAGTAGATTTGACTTGATAACTGATATAAGAAATGTGGCCGGCAGGTCCAACATCCATATAAATGTCTTTACTTTAGGCACAGGAGTAAGTAAAAAGCTAACATGTTTTGGCAAAAAGCCTTGTTCACAGCTTTGCCGAAACATGTTAGCTTTTTACTTACTCCTGTGCCTATAATGAATACGTTTATATGGATGTCACCTTTCTTATTTCATTTGAACTTTGGTGAGTTGGAGACACTTGGTGAGCCAGGGCACCCTCTTTTTGGATTCCTTGTTTGAACTTACTAACCTGTTACCTGTAGTGAGCGCTGCACCTGTTCTTACTTCTACTAAGTTGACTTGATAACGGTCTATCAAAAATTGTGTTTGCTTTTATCTTTCAATTTTAGAATGAATTGACTTTCCTGAATGAAAATTGCTAGAAATATGTTCGAGAAAAATTTTCCATCCTGCTCCATTTTCATTGAAAACTAATGTCCATTTGACCCCACTTACAATTAAAAAATCTAATTAATGTTAAAAAATATATATTTGAACAAGATACTAATGTATGGTCAGATGACATGACTTAAACCTTTAGTTACTTGAAGGCTGTAAATAAAGTTCAAGAGGGCAGGGATTTTAATATGAAGCTAAGATCAAGAACATGGGGACTTGACCTCCCAACTAGCAGGAGCAAAGTTCAAAACTAACCTTGTAAAATATTATTTTACCAAAAAAGTAGTTGATGTGTGGAATATAATTCCAGCAGAGGTAGTTTGTCAGTCAACAGTAAGTATATGTAAACATACTTCAGGTAAACATAAATCTAAGGTGTAAAAAAAAAAAAAAAAATGGGACAACCTCAATGGACCACTTGGTCTTTTTCTGCTGTCAATCTTCAATATTTCTATGGTACACTCGCAGACAGAGATTTTGGTTGGTCACTATGGACAACAGAATTTGAAGCCATTCTTAACATTCAATCAGTATGCTCCAGGAGTATGACTGCAAAAGATGTCTAAGAAATCTATTCGAAAGATGTCAGACATGTTTAGTAAACTGTGGAGCTCAAATCTATTCCTCTGATATTGCCTTCTGTATTCATCTGATGGTCATAATCACACGTTCCAGACTGACAGCTGCATTGAAATCTGGAAAGAAATGATCAGTCTTTCATCCAGTAAACTCACCTTTGTGCTGGTTTCAGTAGAGGAATTTCCCAGAATCCTGTGGAGAGAAAGAAAACGTATGGATTTTACTGAATCTTGAACACTCAAAGTTCTTTCTTCAATAAAGAGTTCTCAATCTTAAAGAAAAACTGTAGTACCTAACAGCCATGCATTGCATGTGATTCACAATGCAGAGTCACAGTGACTACCCAGAGCCTGGAGCTTCAGGGAGAAGAGAACAGTACTGGAGCAGGGACTCAGTCTTGTTCTACCCCCTAGATCCAAGTGCATTTAACTCTGGCTATAAACACAGTTCAGGTGCACAGAAATAGCAAACCATTGATAACCTTCTTTTACAACTTCACTGCATTATGAATTCAAGGATGAATTGTTCCACAGTGCCTACAACTACAAAGGTAAGTGATGGAATATTTTAATGCTGATTTTCTGCTTGTTAAGAATATGTATGTTTTTAAATGTCCATAACCTGTTTGCAGCTCTACTTTGACATGAAGTTTACCTGGCCGAAAAAGTGCCTAGGACAGCAAGAGTTCCGCCTTGTGGCTCTAGAAAGTACCTGTGTTAGTCCACAAATTTATCCTTGAGTTCATGTGGAATCCATTTGACTCTAGGCCAAATTGTTTACAACTCAGCCTAGGGTCTTATGTGAAGAAGGGGCTGTGAGATTTTGGGGGATTTGTGATGGGGAGGCCTGTGTGACTGCTGGGCTCTGTGATGAAGGGTAGGTTTTATGTGATTGGGTGGCTCTGTAGTGGGGAACCTCTGATGTGATGAGGGGACTCTGATGTGATGTGGGGAATCATGTATAGGTGGCATCTGATGTGATGGGGTAACCTCTAAAGTGAGGAGAGACCATTGATGTGATGGAGGGACCTCAGATATGATGGGGGGACCTCTGATGTGATGAGGGGACATCTGATGTAATGGGAGGACCTCTGATGTGGTGGGGGACCTCCAATGTGATGAGGGAACATCTACTGTGATGGGAGGACCTCTGATGTGGTAGGGAACCTCTAATGTGATGAGGGGAACTCTGATGTGATGAGGGGACCTCTGATATGATGGGAGGAGGGGGGACCTCTGATGCGATGGTAGGACTTCTAATGTGCTGGGGGACCTCTGATGTGATGGAGGAACCTCTAAAGTCTGATGTGATGGGGGGAGCCCAGATGTGGTGGGAGACTTCTGATGTGATGAGAGGACCTCTGACGTGCTTGAGGGACCTTTTGATTGGTGAGGGGACCTCTGTTGTGGTGGGGGAAGTTTGTCGTGATGGGAGGACCTCTGGTGTGGTGGGGGAACCTCTGATGTGATGAGGGAAACTCTAATGTGATGAGGCGACCTCTGATATAATGGGGGGGGGGGGGGGTGGACCTCTGATGCAATGGAAGGACTTCTGTTGTGGTGGGGGGGACCTTTGGTGTAATGGGGAAACTTCTGAATAGGGGGGACCTCTGATGTGATGGGTGGACCTTTGATTTGATGAGGGGATCTCTGTTGTGGTGGGGGAAGTTTGATTTGGTAGGGAACCTCTGATGGAGGTGGGACCTCTGATGTGGTAGGGTACCTCTGATGAAGTGAGGGGACATATGATGTGATAGGAGGAACTCTGATGTGGTGGGAGACCTCCTATGTGATGAGGAGACCTCGGATGTGAAGGCAGGTTTTTGTTACGAAGATAGTTTTATCAAGGTGCTTTTTTTGCATCACCCCAGGCTCAGGTTTCCTATTGATTAGTGACATTTATGTTTTTTTACATTTTATACTGAGGTACCTTGAGATTTTTTCATACTTTTAAAGGGTGCTGCAACTGAAAAAAGGTTGGGAAATGCTGTTGTATAGTATTTGGAAATTGGTCACTTATATGGAGGAATTGACCTGATTGAATGGACCCTATTTTAAAGGAAATGTGTGTACTGACATTGAATATCAAATAAACAGCGGTTTAAATTATGTGATATTTTGATATAGTCACAATATGAAATGTGGTTTTATGTATGCATCCCAATGCAAATTGTACTTATAAATTCTTTTAGGAAGAAGTATGCATAAATATTCACTTTGAGAATAGGTAACGTAGGTTTAATGTTGGAGATTTTGACCTGCGGAAACAAAAATGTCAGTTTACCAATACAGTGCTGTAATAAGAACTCTCTGTAATGCCCTACAGCAATCAATCATTTTCCAACTTGCAGTGGAAACTGACATTTGGAGAAGTAAAGTCTGGTTGTTGCAGCGCATTACATAGAGTTTGTATTTCAAACCTTGACAGACAAGGCCCAGCATGCTTATATATTCCAAATTAATAAGTGGTTTGATCAGCTGCGTCTTCATTATTCGTGCCGGCAACAAAGTATCTGCTCCTGTTGGCAATAAGTACACTTTACCGCCACTGCGTTTTACGGAGAAAAAAAATGATAAAATGAAGACATAAACTTTAATAGGTAAACAGATATACCAAACAGATTTAGACTCGACGATTTCAAACAATTTCGTCTAGCAAAACATCTTTTTAGCTGTACAGATGCACATAACCATATAACTAACTGCAAAACAAGATGCCATTAAAACTGGTTAACTGTGATGTCGGTGTAAGCTTTCCAGGCGAAGATGTGTACGCCTTCCCGCGGGTGCCAGCATCTCACGACATAATAAATGTGCTTGTTTGCAATTCATTTAGCGCTGCATTGGTAATAGCTCTCCAAGTGACATTAGATTTTACTTGTTATTTCAAATGGAAGAGCAAATTCCCTAGGACAAGCTGTTCAGCTCAGCGTTTTCAAAAGGTTCTTATAGAAAGCCTTTCAGTCAATGAACTCTGTTCAAAAAGACAAAAAAAAATAGATAGATACTTTGTGCCTGTTTTTGTAATAGATCTCATAGGGACTGTTTTGGTGGTGGTGGGGGGGCTTCACTAGTATCCACATTTAACTATTGTTCCAGCTACAGAGAAGGTTTACTGTTAGTACCCGGGGAATCGCAGCCCTGTCTCTCTTATTATGTTGTATAATATGGCAAATTATTAGCTCTCTCTACAGGCTTTTACCTGTTAGGGCTCTTTCACATGAGTGACCAGTAAAATCAGGAAGTTGAGATGCAGTTTTGCCTCTCCTTACTGACCACCTGAACAAGGGCATGGAGCCACTCAGGGCTGTGCAAATGCCATGGCCAAAGCAACAATTAAATGGCGTGACACTTTCGGCCAGCAGTACTACCACTGAACACAACTCATTCAAGTAAAGAGGGCTGCGCTGCAACCATGTACAATACAGACAGTTGCAGCACTGGGGTGTACCATTTTGAGGATTAAAACAGGCACCTTCTCACCACTTGTCAAATGCAGCGATGGACTGCTTCTTAGGGGAGCAGCAATGCTAGCTGCACATGTGAATGAGCCCTTAAATTGGTGTATGCTTAACCACTTGTCCTCCAGAGGATTTACCCCCTCCTCCTGACCAGACCATTTTTTGTGATACAGTGCTGTGTTACTTTAACAATTGCACGGTCATGCAACGCTGCACCCAAATTAAATGTGTGTCCTTTTTTCCCCACATATAGAGCTTTTTTTAGGTGGTATTTGATCGCCTCTGCATTTTTACTTTTTTGGGTTATAAACAAAAACAGACCAACAATTTTGAAAAAAAAAATATTTTTCACTTTTTGCTATAAAACATATCCAGTAAAAATTTTTTCCAAATCAGATTCCGTCATAAATTTAGGCCACAATGTATTCTGCTACATGTCTTTGCTAAAACAAAATCCCAACATGTGTAAATTAATTGGGTTATGAAATTATAGCGTCTACAAATGGCGGTGTATATATATTGGAATTTTTTTTTATATTAGTAATGGCGGCAATCTGCAGAGCAATACAAATCAGCCTGTTTGTGCTGACCGGGGAGAGATCTGAGTTGTTTACACACAGACCTCTCCCCTGTCACAGTTCCTCGGCAATTGGCGGGTGCCGGCGGGGAATCTCTGACCAGGACTTGGTGATTGACAGCTGTAGCCACCAATGGCGGGTGCCCCCTACCCGGAAATATAAAATCACATGTATATATACGTGATTTTGCACAGCCCTGTAGCAGTAGTTCTGCTATAGGGCGACGGGGAAGCTGTTAAATAAAGGTTTCCCACACTAGTATACCTACAAAAGAAGAGGAGGAATAATTTTCATTCCCACCACCCACAGCACCAGAATGCTGCTCTGTTCAGTAGAAGTTTGCAGGGAAACTAGCACATCTCTGAGCTGTCCATCTCTTGTGTCCCCTGTAGCTCTTGCTGCTTATTGACTTTCAATGGCTAGGGACATATTCTTGGCAAGCAGTAAATGAGCTTAAAGACGAGCCCTTGCTGACCTCTGTAGCTGCAAGTACTGTGAAGTGACTCATTTCTAAAATTCATAGCAGAAGCACTGAAGTAATTCAAGTCTTAGCGTCTCTGTTTTGTCTCTCAGCAGCCTTTCAGCCATCTAATCTCTAATGTAAACACAGAGCAGATGCTCTAGGACTAGGAATCAGGGGGAGCTGAGCTGCCAACTTGAACACCTGCAGGGCTTCAGCTGTGAAATTTGTGGATAAATGACTCCACATTACCTTAGTCTACAGAGGTCAATGTAAGCTTTTTTTTTTAAAGCTTTTTGTTACTGATTATTGAAGGATAATTTCACCTATTGCTAAAAAAAAAATAATAAAAATGCACATCTTTTTGCAGGTAAAAAATATGTGCATTTAATATTTTTTGTTGCAGGAACCTTTAAACCATTGCACCAGCGATCAGCAGATCGATGTTGCCATTGCAGGTCTCCTGCAGACCTGTCAGTATATCTGCTTGCCTAAAAATAGTGCAGCGCTAAAGGTAGTGATAATAAGACAGATAAAAGTCCACTAAAAGTCTTGGTCATAAGAACGTGTTCAGTGACAAATGAGGATTCAAAATTGGTGATCCGTGTGGAAACGGCTGAAAAACGCACTCACCAGAAGCAAGACACATAAACGCAGTGTGCATCTAGAGCTCATGGATCCTCAATCCAGAAGG